TTGATTCAAAAATTGACCATGTGGCTCAAATACTGGATTGGATTTGTCGAGAAGTTTATTAAGCTAGTTAAATATTCACGGTCAAAAAACGCAAAAAAAAATAAACCCAAGATAGATAGAGAAGTGGAAAAATCATTTCGGCAAAGAATCTTGGATTTGATTAAGTAATTCACATAGTGGCTCAAATGCTAGATTTGTCGAGCACTTTATCACGCCAGTTAAATGATCAAGTCCACGAAATGCGCAAAAAACAAACCCCATATGATGACATGATGAGGAATTAAAAAATTCATTTCTGCAAAGGATAGAGGATTTGATTTAACAATTCCCAAATTGGCTCAAATGCTAAATTTGTCGAGCAGTTTATTACATTAGTTGAACACTCAAAACCAAGAAATGCACAAAAATTATACCCAAAATTGATACAGAAGAAAGAAAAAGTAATTTCTGCAAAGGATCTGGGATTTGTTTCAACAGTTTACATAGTGGCTCAAATACTAGATAGGTCAAAAATTTTGTCATGCAAAATTTACAATCACGTCCAAGAAATCACAGATTATTAAAACCAAATTAAAGCAGAAAGAATTTTAACAAATTACATAGTGAGTAAAGTAATAAATTTGTGGAGAACTTTATTACGCAAGTTGAACACTCACGTCCAAGAAATGCACAAATGATATACCCCAGATTGATACAGAAGTGAAAAAGTCACTTCTACAAAGGATCTGGGATTGGATTCAAAAAATGAACATGTGGCTCCAAAAACTAGATTTGTCCAGCAGTTTATTAAGCTAGTTAAATATTCACTTCCGAAAAAGGCAAATATATAAGATTGATACAGAAGTGGAAAATTCATCTCGGCAAAGAATCTTGGATTTGATCAAATAATTCACATAGTGGCTCAAATGCTAGATTTGTCGAGCACTTTATTACGCTAGTAAAATGATCAAGTCCAAGAAATGCGCAAAAATTATACCCCATACGACGAAGAAGTAAAGAATTCATTTCTGCAAAGGATCTGGGATTTGATTTAACAATTGACCATGTGGCTCAAATACTAGATTTGTCGAGCAGTTTATTAAGCTAGTTAAAAATTCAAGTCCAGGAAATGCACAAAAAATACCCCACAATGATACAGAAGTGGAAAATTCGTTTCTGCAAAGGATCTGGGATTCGATTTAACAATTCACAAATTGTCTCAAATGCTAGATTTGTCGAGCATTTTATTACGCTAGTTAAATATTCACGTCTACGAAATGCACAAGAAGTATACCCCAGATTTATTCAAAAGTTGAAAATTCATTTCTGCAAAGGATCAGGGATTTGATTCAACAGAAAACTTAGTGGCTCAAACACTAGATAGGTCAAGTATTTTATCAAGCAAAATTTACAATCACGTTCAAGAAATCAAAAAAAATTATAACCAAATTGAAGCAGAAAGTATTTTACCAGTTTACATAGTGAGTCAAATACTAAATTTGTCGAGCACTTTATTACACTAGTTAAATGATCAAGTCCAAGAAATGCGCAAAAATAATACCCACATGATAGAGAAGTAAAAATTCATTTCAGCAAAGGATATGGAATTTGATTTAACAATTCACAAATTGGCTCAAATGCTATATTTATCGAGCGTTTTATTAAGCTAGTTAAATATTGACGTCCACGAAATGCACAAAAATATACCCCATATTGATACAGAAAAAGAAAATTCCTTTCTGCAAAGGATCTGGGATTTGTTTCAACAGTTTACAAAGTGGGTCAAATACTAGATTGGTCAAGTATTTTATCATGCAAAATTTACAATCACGTCCAAGAAATCACAAATTATATAACCGAATGGAAGCAGAAAGTATTTGAACAGTTTACATAGTGAGTCAAATACTAAATTTGTGGAGAACTTTATTATGCAAGTTGAACACTCACGTCCAAGAAATACATAAATGTTATACCCCAGATTGATACAGAAAAAAAATTCACTTCTGCAAAGGATCTGGGATTCGACTCAAAAACTGACCATGTGGCTCAAATACTGGATTTGTCGAGCAGTTTAATAGGCTAGTTAAATATTCACGTCCAGAAAACGTAATGAAAATATACACAAGATTGATATAGAAGTCTAAAATTCATTTCGGCAAAGAGTCTTGGATATGATTAAATAATTCACATAGTGGCTCAAATGTTAGATTTGTCGAGCACTTTATTACACTAGTTAAATGATCAAGTCCAAGAAATGCGCAAAAATAATACCCACATGATAGAGAAGTAAAAAATTCATTTCAGCAAAGGATATGGAATTTGATTTAACAATTCACAAATTGGCTCAAATGCTATATTTATCGAGCGTTTTATTAAGCTAGTTAAATATTGACGTCCAAGAAATGCACAAAAACTATACCCCAAGTTGATACAGAAGTAAAAAACTCATTTCTGCAAATGATCTGGGATTTGTTTCAACAGAATACTTAGTGGCTCAAACACTAGATAGGTCAAGTATTTTATCAAGCAAAATTTACAATCACGTTCAAGAAATCACAAAATATTATAACCAAATTGAAGCAGAAAGTATTTTACCAGTTTACATAGTGAGTCAAATACTAAATTTGTCGAGCACTTTATTACACTAGTTAAATGATCAAGTCCAAGAAATGCGCAAAAATAATACCCACATGATAGAGAAGTAAAAATTCATTTCAGCAAAGGATATGGAATTTGATTTAACAATTCACAAATTGGCTCAAATGCTATATTTATCGAGCGTTTTATTAAGCTAGTTAAATATTGACGTCCACGAAATGCACAAAAATATACCCCATATTGATACAGAAAAAGAAAATTCCTTTCTGCAAAGGATCTGGGATTTGTTTCAACAGTTTACAAAGTGGGTCAAATACTAGATTGGTCAAGTATTTTATCATGCAAAATTTACAATCACGTCCAAGAAATCACAAATTATATAACCGAATGGAAGCAGAAAGTATTTGAACAGTTTACATAGTGAGTCAAATACTAAATTTGTGGAGAACTTTATTATGCAAGTTGAACACTCACGTCCAAGAAATACATAAATGTTATACCCCAGATTGATACAGAAAAAAAATTCACTTCTGCAAAGGATCTGGGATTCGACTCAAAAACTGACCATGTGGCTCAAATACTGTATTTGTCGAGCAGTTTAATAGGCTAGTTAAATATTCACGTCCAGAAAACGTAATGAAAATATACACAAGATTGATATAGAAGTCTAAAATTCATTTCGGCAAAGAGTCTTGGATATGATTAAATAATTCACATAGTGGCTCAAATGTTAGATTTGTCGAGCACTTTATTACACTAGTTAAATGATCAAGTCCAAGAAATGCGCAAAAATAATACCCACATGATAGAGAAGTAAAAAATTCATTTCAGCAAAGGATATGGAATTTGATTTAACAATTCACAAATTGGCTCAAATGCTATATTTATCGAGCGTTTTATAAAGCTAGTTAAATATTGACGTCCAAGAAATGCACAAAAACTATACCCCAAGTTGATACAGAAGTAAAAAAACTCATTTCTGCAAAGGATCTGGGATTTGTTTCAACAGAATACTTAGTGGCTCAAACACTAGATAGGTCAAGTATTTTATCAAGCAAAATTTACAATCACGTTCAAGAAATCACAAAATATTATAACCAAATTGAAGCAGAAAGTATTTTACCAGTTTACATAGTCAGTCAAATACTAAATTTGTGGAGAACTTTATTACGCAAGTTGAACACTCACGTCCAAGAAATGCACAGATGATATACCCCAGATTGATACAAAAGTGAAAAATTCACTTCTGCAAAGGATCTGGGATTTGATCAAAAACTGACCATGTGGCACAAATACTAGATTTGTCGAGCAGTTTATTAAGCTAAATAAATATTCACATCCGAAAAAGGCAAGAAAATATATAAGATTGATACAGAAGTGGAAAATTCATTTCGGCAAAGGATATGGGATTTGATTTAACAATTCACAAATTGGCTCAAATGCTAAATTTGTCGAGCACTTTATTACATTAGTTAAAAACTCACGTCCAAGAAATGCAAAAAAACTATACCCCAAGTTGATACAGAAGTAAAAAACTCATTTCTGCAAAGGATCTGGGATTTGTTTCAACAGAATACTTAGTGGCTCAAATACTAGATAGGTCAAGTATTTCATCAAGCAAAATTTCTAATCACGTCCAAGAAATCACAAACTATTATAACCAAAATGAAGCAGAAAGTATTTTAACAGTTTACACAGTGAGTCAAATACTAAATTTGCGGAGAACTTCATTACGCAAGTTGAACACTCACGTCCAAGAAATGCACAAATGATATACCCCAGAATGATACAGAAGTGAAAAATTCACTTCAGCAAAGGATCTGGGATTTGATTCAAAATTGACCATGTGGCTCAAAAACTGGATTTGTCGAGCAGTTTATTAAGCTAGTTGAATATTCACTTACAAAAAAGGCAAGAAAATATATAAGATTGATACAGAAGTGGAAAATTCATTTCGGCGAAGAATCTTGGATTTGATTAAATAATTCACATAGTGGCTCAAGTGCTAAATTTGTTGAGCATTTTTTACGCTAGTTAAATACCAACGTCCAAGAAATCCACAAAAAATAAACTCCAAATTGATACCGAAGTGGAAAATTCATTTCTGCAAAGGATCTTGATTTGTTTCAACAGTTTACATAGTGGCACAAATACTAGATAGGTTAAGTATTTTATCACGCAAAATTTACAATCACGTCCAAGAAATCACAAATTATACAACGAAACTGATGCGGGAAGTATTTTAACACTTTACATAGTGGGTAAAATACCAGATTTGTCGAGCACTTTTTTATGCAAGTTAAACAATCTTGTCCACGAAACGCGCAAATTATATACCCCGGTTAATACAGAATTGAAAATATCAAGTCTGCTAAGGATCTGCGAGGGCTTTTGGTTGATTACGTGATATCTAGAAAGCTAACCTTTATACTGGGTTCTATTCTCTGTAGATTGAAAAGTGTTTCCATGTCCAGAAGGGACTGCTTAACCTCTCTGTACACTGTTCCCAAGAAGTTAAGTGGTAGGGACAGTTGGAACAACAAGCCATTGACCATCACCAGATCTCCAACAGTGAAGTTTCCTATTTTAAGTTACATTATATCTCAGCGATTTCCATTTTAAGTAGGACAACGGGATAAAAAACATTTTATTTGAGTGGCATTTGGGTAAACCTATTTTAACATTTTTTCAAACTGCTTCAAAAAATTCTTCAAGGTGTGTTTTTTCACACACACACACACACATTGAACTATTATTTTTTCTACAAGTACCGAAAAGGTTTGGAGAAAACCTGAGTGTCTAAAAAAAATCTCCTACATTAAATACCCCTGCTTTCGCTTACAGGTTTTCATTGAAAAGTTAGCTTCATGTTTTACTAGCAAACTCAAAACTGATCTAATTGTGCAACATACCCTGTATGATTCCGTGAGCGACCAGTGACATCATGGAGGCCATGGACACACTGAATATGAGGTTCTGTCCGAAGTTGAGGAAGGACAGCGACTGACTGCTCTTTAGACTGGCCACCTGGTACTTCTTCAGAATCTTGGCGTAGTTATCAGCCTCGAATACCTCGTTGTTGAAATACTTCACTGTCTCGTAGTTAATGAGCGAATCTAGACACAGAGAAAATGATACATATCGAGACAATTTTTGGACCTAATCAGGGACAACGATATCAATGAATCATAACTTCTTTCGCTTTCAGTAATGGAGCAATATAAAAGTTAATGCCAAATTGTTGGCAATATCTTTCGTAGTCAAAGAATCTGAACGAAGTCAATTAACTAAAACTGCTCATGTAGTTGTCATAAATCAATATCGGTCAAAAATCTAATTACCCTAAATTTTGTGATCGAATAATTTGTTGAAGGTAATCGATATTGCCAAATTTTGTCATTAACAATTTAATTACTACTTATCACATCCAAGTTCTCTGCGAGCTTACAATGGTTCTGTCAACCTAAAAACCTGAAGAGAAACTGAATTTATACACCGAGGCGAAGCTGAGCTTCGCACCATTTGCAATTTTAAGTATAGGATTGAACCAGCATGACGCTCAATAGAACTAACAAAGAAGACTTCGAACGAAGTTCTCGTTGAAGAAAAAACTAAAAAATTTAAAAAGTTCAACATTTATTCAAGAGCACCCTAAAAGGTTCATTTTGAGCATTCAAACCTTAGCGGCTAGAGTCATATCGATCTCAAAAACAAAACCGGGAACTTGTTAGAAACAAAATGTTAGGCAACTAAACCGAACAAGTTAAAGGCTACTGCCAAAAAGCCGAAAACTAACCGAAATATGCCAAAAATTTTTAATAACAACGAGGATAGCCAGCTGTTGTGCAATTAGCACAGAATTTACCAACCACATACATAATACACCAAATTGAAAACCCACAATAGTGATAAAGTTCAAAGAGCAACTATCAGAAAAGCCCTTAAACTTAGCCTCGAAGGCTCACTAAGTTTTACCCTCTATAGACCGAGAATAAAATCGAAGCGGCTAAACCCTCAAAAACAAAAGGAACCGATGGCTTATGTACAGCCCACCTTAAACATATCGGACAAACAGCAATCGCATTTTCAACTAACATTTAACCTCTCTTTCTTTGAATAAAATTCCCTAATTTTGGAAAAACTCCAGAATGTTGACACTTATGAAACCAAACAAAAATCTCAAATCTTTGTTCCATCCAACCCTAAGAAAATTTTACCCAGAGCCGATCATCAACATGGCTTTCGCCCGATGCATTCCACCACAACAACACTTTCCACCATTCAATGTATTTTCATCAGCGGTAGTTTTTATCAACAAAGGCCCCCATATACCGGAAAGCCGAATTAGGCGGTTGAAAAACTACCTGAGTGGGCATCAATCAAAAACTATGTTCTAGGACACCCTGTCAAAATCAGGGACTGTTCGTACGAGCGTCCCTCAAGGATCAGTCTTATCCCAAAACTTTTTTTTATTTTTACGTCCATGATGATCCACTGTAGCCCCCCGATGTAAAACTGCAGTCCTACGCTGATGACTTCCGTCCTTTTGTCCAACCCAGCAACTTTTCGACGGCCTCATCAGTCTTATCCAGTTATCTCACTGAGTTACACAAATTCTGTACCTCAAGGTCCTTTGTTTTTTTTTGAAGGTTCGGCGAGCCTTTCGTCTTCTTTTATTAAAGATTTTAATACTGAATTGAATTGAAATACTGAAATGAAGAAAACTTTACTGCCCAACAAGAAACATCCCAAAACAATTAATATTTTATTCGCAGAACATTGCAAACGTAAAGCCGCAAAAGTCGCGCGCAGGATATCGACACCGAAGACTTTATCCGGATCTCCAAAGAAACTTTACTAGTTGCTTTTAAAGCTTAAGTACAGCCAATATTAGAGGATGCGAGCCCTGCCTGGTCCCACGTTGCCAGTAAAACTTCTTAGCAAACTGCAAACAGTTCAAGATGCTGCTCGCCGCATGGTTACAGCGTGCACAAAGATGAGCGCAATTCAACATTTACATTTAGAATTTGAAAGTTTAAATGTGATCCACCACTATCATCTAATGGCGTCGCAACTTGCCGTGCTAAATTTTGTTCCATCAAATCCGCTGCTCTTTTATCATTATCCCAAATCTCGAAATATCCGCCCTTCGTTTCTTGACTTATACGTTCCCGAAACTAACATTATCCTATCTCAAACTAAAACTCTTACGCTCTTCAAAACGAAGTTTTAGTGAACGAAGTTCTTTCATCCCTAAAAATTTTAAATTGCTTCATAAGCTCACAGAGTTAGGCAGGTCATAACAGATGACCACCTCCTAAGTTCTGCCCCTTACACCACCTGGAAGGAAGTTCCCCGCCGAAGAATCCGCCCACGTGTCTCTAGAACCCTTTTCCAGTTGAGATCCGGATATTGTCTCTTTCTGAAAATGTACCTGAATCGTATTGACCCCAAGATCCCCTCAAGCTGCCCGTACTGTCCTTCCCTACATACCACTCTTCGTCTTTTTAACTGTTCCCAGAACATCACTTTTTAAACCCCAATAAACTAATGGCTTCGTTCGACCGAAGTTGCGACGTTTCTGGACTTGATTTCATAGTGTCGTTTTTTGAGCGTGGTGGGAAGAACGAACTATACAAAAGCATAGAAATTAAATAATGGTTAATCGACAACACTCTAATTCTAAAAGATAAAATCAACATGAAGGCGGAACACTTCTTACCACTTGCGATATCACACAAAGCATTGCAAGCAAAGAAACAGGAAAAAAACGTAATAGCCACTAAGTGTCAAAATAAAGAAAAAATTCGAAGAACAACAACTTCACTATTTTGTCTTTAACGATGTTTTATTAGCAAAAAAACTCAATTGAAGTCCCAGATTCACATTAAAACTCGATGCAATTCCAGAGACATTCATCAAAAGCAACTGAGCCGACAAAACTTGGGTAAATTCTCGTGGAGCCGAAAATTTAATTGTTTTCATGAAAAACTTCGAGCTATAATTTCTATTCCAAAATTCCTTGCAATTCATCCAATCCAGAGGGGAGCAAAAAATTTATTTCTCCTCTAAAATGACTCAGAAATGTCAATAAACGCCGAAAAAATTAGGAGAGAATAAAGTTTTTACGCGAAAAAAATATACGAAGTCAAGGTTGGTAAAAGTAAAAACAGCACAAAAAATCAAAACACTAATAACAGCTAAAAAGTAATTGTGTATGGTAAAGAAAAACAATTCTGCGATGTGGCAACTAAGCCGACAAAACATAAGCAGACAAATAATAAGCCGGGAACTTTTTTTAAAACGGAAAGTTTCCCATTCGAAAAAAAAAACAAGTCCTGTCTGACTCAAACCCAGGACCTTTGCTACCCTAGACGCTTTGGTTACATCCAGATCAAGTGTGCCCGAGACAAAAAGAAACTTGAGTTCATCTAGTACCCGTTTGCATTACCCTTCTTATCGCGAAGATAGAACAAAAGAGAAAAACTCGATTAGAAGAAAAATTCTATTTTTGCACTATAATTTGTTTTATAATTTTTTGGCGAGGAAGCGCTAAATGAAGCTCTGAAAAGTAGTTTTTTTTCAAATAAAACCAAGCTTTCCTGGCCTAAACGAGCAATTTCTACATAAGAAGGTTACCCGATCGCTTGACTCACTCGAACTTAGAATAAAAATCAGAAACTTCAAAACAGTTTTTCTCGACATTGACAACTTTTCAACGGTCGGAACAAAAACAGATATAATACCCATATAGTATCCACGAGTACAATCTAAACTCTGATGCGAAGCTGCAGCTACGCAAAGAAGCCGGAACGCGGCATAAGACTCAGGAGCTATAAAAAATGCACAAAAACAGAAACTTGGCATGTAAAAATTTGGAATGTAATGAACTTAAGGCAACCACACTCCCTTTGCAGGCATTCAATTGCAAATTAAGCAACCAAAATTACCAAAGTTTGTATGAATCATGCATTTCAAAAATAAAAAGCGTCAACTGTTTGAAATTATTAGTTATCAAATGACACAGCACATGCTTCTGAATAGTGAATTCAGCATCCTGATTCAGAGAGCCACCAAAAGTAGCACTTTTATATACAACTTAGATTTGAAAAAATTCACACACTCCGCAGCAATCGTGTAATGAATGCGAGGTTGCATACACAATTCGCAGCCTTCACAAGAGCTGAATTGAAAACCATTAGAGCCGCAAACCATCAGCAAAAAATTATATCGAAATACTAAAATAAAACATACAACTAAATCAATCAAAATGAATGAAAATAGCTTTGGAAAAAAAGTTACCAGAAAGTAGAATTCAAAATCATCGAAAATTTAAGAAAAAAATGTGGGGCCTTAATTCTCTTTGAATTTCAAAAACAATTAATGATTGTCACTTTTTTTGATAACATTAACATAATTTATAAAAAAAAAAACTGGATCAAAAGTTTAAATTTTTCAAAATCTAAAACTAAATTCCTTTTTCGAAACTAAAAGCTTTCGATTATTGTGACCTTTACCTTTTTCCTTGTGGCGTTTGCATTCCTTTAAGCAAAAAAATTAAACTTGAAATATAACTTGAAAAAAAACAGCTGGCGGAAAATCAAATTAGAGCGTGAACAAATTTTAAGACTTTTTCCTGAAAAGATAACCAACAAAAAATCAGCTAGACCTATATAAATCTATTTACTACGTTCAAGAATCCTAAAAACAGAACTAGAGTCCTACCAATACAGTGGCTCTGTGCTTTATTGTCTGCTTTGTTCATCTGTACTCTGAACTTAGTCCTCCATGCGGTGGTAGCAAAAGTGAACCCCACGAATGAAGCTATGGTGGCCAATGATACGGCTGCATACTCCGGCCCAAGGTTGTACCACTAAACTAACACATGCAACATTAGATACAAAAACGACAACGGCAGCTACTTCAAAAAATTATGATAATCCCACAGAAAAAACCTTGGAACTTTTAGAGGCGCAGCAAAGTAAAAATTTTCTTTATTTGTCTTGATTTTGTCTTAAACTCCTTTGCAAAAAATTAGCCAAAAAACAATCGAATAATGAAGAAGCATCGAAACAAAACTTAGAAATTGGTTTCAGAGCCAACAATTCTTGAGCAGACAAGTTGGGCAGAAAAATAATTAATTAAAAAATTTTTTTTTAAATTTTTATGCCTCCTACAAAACGTTAAGATAAAACCCCTTTTGCTCCTCGAACTCAAAAAGAGACCTCCAAGCCGATATATAATTCGTCAAAACCATTCAAGCGAATAAACAGGAAAAGGATCAAATAAAACGAAAAAATAAATGACATACTGAAATCGCGTTGTAAAATTTAAGCAAACATTTAAACAAATTTCGAATACAACAGGCATTTGAAACGCAGACATGCTCATCTATTTGCCTGCTTGTTGAAGAAAGTACAGATGGTCATCACCAAATTCAGTCAGCCTGTGAAGAAAGCTGTTTACCGAAAAAAAGTCTGAAACCCGGTTGCAATTCCCTTGCTTGTCGCAAGAGTAAAAATGAAATTGTTCAAGGAAGACATTACTGCAACTGTGTTGCATCCACTCAATTTTTGCCCATTACAATCAGCCTCATACTTTTTACACAGAGGCGAAGCTTCGCTTCGCAAACACTAGCAAGAAAGATCAGAAGCAGCTCCATAAATTGCAAGAAGAAAAATTAGAAATAAGCCTCGAATTAGTAAAAAAAACCGGCTATGTCTGAGATTCGAACCGGTAAGGTAGAGACTGATCGTCTCAAGCACTAAACACTCAGCCACAGACGCTGATAGGTACCAAACACTAGCCACAAATAAAGCAGAGAACAGATATGCTATGCAATTACCAATGTAAAAATTCCAAATAAGTGAACACTTTTAATGAACACTTTTATTTGCGAGTTAGGTTAGAAAAAAGAAGGTTCATAATAATACACTAAGCTGATCACTAGTGTAATTATTTGGCTACGACTCATATAAAAAAATTGAGATGTAGAGCATTGACTATCTCACTTTAGATTTTTGGTACCAAGACTGCATTATAAACAAATAATCAAAATTTGCGCCCGACATTATCCAAGCAAAAGTATTGCGATTTCAATTTTTTTAATGATCCATATTTGCAGGTTAAATAGAACTTACTAGAATGCCGCTGACTAAGGACACTTCGAAGATTGTTGGTACTATGTTGAACACAAGAGCACTCAGAATAAAGTTGATTCCTCTAAACAAATGTGAAGTCGTGAGTATAAGACAAAATGGGAATCAAGATCATATGTATCACACTCATTTTTTTGAAACTTGATCCCGTTACCTGAACTAGTTCAATCAAAACAATCGAAAGTCGTTCCAGATTATGTCAGCTCTGCGAAAGTCAAAGATAAAACCGGATACTCAAATTTCCTGAAAACTCGACAATAAATGTTTACTTTGAATTTAATAGAAATTTCATTTGTTAAACGCACCTTGTGCCTCTGTCGATAGCTTTGGATAGCGCGCCTGTCTGTTTGTCAAGGTGGAATTGGAGGTCTAGATTATGCAGATGAACAAATACACTCCTCGCGATGTCTCTGATTGAGGTGTTGGTCACAGTTGCAAAGATGGCATTGCGCAACTCACTCATTCCGTAGGCTGTCGATCGAGCTATTCCGTCTGAACAGGAAAAAACGCAAAGCATTGGGTGCCTAGGTTTGTAATTTAGCTAAAATGGTTCAAATCAGAAACAAATTGTCTCCATCGACGCAAAACGGACTTAACAGAACAGTACTCACTTCCTGCAAAGAGCTTTCAAGCTATACTTGAACTAATAAATTGCAGAACGTTTTCTGAAGCATTTGAATGCATAAACCCGAATTACCTTACATTACAATCACAATTTCGGAGAAAATCATGAAAAAACGTCATATATCAAAAACTACAATGATTTGAGCAGTCAAATTTGGCGGCAAAATTCGCAACTCCTGAGAGTACCCTGACAGATTCCCACAACAGAGATCGTAATTTCAAGTTTTGTGAAATTTTTTTATATCTAAATTTTCAGAAAAATTTTGAAAAAAATCCAAAAAAAACGTCATATGTCGAAAACTACCAGGATTTGAGCAGCCATAATCAAAGGCAAGATTCGCAACCCTTGAGAGTACCCTCACAATATCCAACAACAGGATTGAGATCATCAACGTTTTTGAAATTTTTGAAATCTAAGTTTTTGAAAAAATCATAAAAAACGTCATAATTCGAAAACTACAAGGATTTGAGAAGTGAGAATTGGATGCCAGATTCCCAACCCCTGAGAACACCTTGACAGCACCCAAATACAGGGTGAGAATTTCAAAAATTGAGAAATTTTTCTAAATTAAATTTTCTAGAAATTTTTGAAAAATCTCGAAAATTGCCTATCTCGTAAACTAAACGGATTTGGTTATTCATATATGGAGGCCAGAATCGCAAAACCTGGAAAAAACTCTGACAATCTCCTACTATTGGGTTGCCAATTTCAAAGTCGATGAAATAAACACTGAATTTAAACTGGAAAATTGAAAAAAAACCTTAACCATTGCAATATACGATATAGCTTAAACGTGAAAAAATTCTTTTGTTAAACATGCAAAAATAATACGTTGAAAAAGCTTAAACATGGCGAGATGGTGATGCCCGCATTTAAATATATAATAGATCAAAGTAATTCTGTAATTCTACTATGACACTTGAAAAAAATAAACATAGCCAACAGATAGTTGAAAAAATGTTAAAGAATGGAATAGTTGGAAAAATGTTTAAGAACATGGAGCCCGAAAAAATTTATCAAAAATGTTTGAACAATTATCAACTGTCAAAGAAACAATATACCACGTTCAAGCTCTTTGAATTTCAAAACTTAATTCTGCAGGTCACTTTTCATAAAGTCTTTCACGTTTCTCGTAACACTTTTGTCGTTCAATATTTTTACAAATTTTTTAAAATACTTTTGAAATCCATCGCAAAAAATGAAATTAAAGCATGACAAATTTTAAAACACTTCCTGGAAAAAAAATATCACAAACTACAAAAGTAAAAATCACTTCTTTCTCTCTAAATTAATGAACAACTACGCAGAATTATCAACCCACAAAAAGTTCTATATTATAAAAGCGGTATTATAGGCAGCTTACATCCTACAAGGAGTGATATTGTGACTGTGGTAAAGGAATTGGAGGCCGTGCTGAAGTTGAGTGCGTTCTCGTTCAGGTAGTCGACCGCATGCTTGAACAGAAAGGGAACCTGAACTGTCAGCACCTAAAACACCAAATCATTTATAGAGTAACTCCAACTAGATTACCTACAACAGAACTCTATTTCTAGGGAATCTTAAACGCTTTTGTTGATTTTTAAGCAGTATTGAAAACATATTCGCCAAAATTTTCAGCGCGCAAGATTAAATGACGCGTACAGTAATTTGATCACACCACTGACCCACGCAGATAAAAAAAATTACCGTTTTTAAAGCGCGCTCCCTCATTTTAGTATATACTTGCGCCTTTAGAAAAATTTAAGGATTGGGAAACTAAAATGAATGTCGTAAAATAGGATCAATTTACAGTACTGGTTTTCTAACCTAAATTTCACCAGTTGGGAAGTTTTTGTACACCGAGTTCTCTGAAGTAGGAAAAGTTCTGGGTCGCAGTTAAATTACCAAGAAAACATGTCAAAACTTCATTTTGGACACTTTGTGTTAGATTTTGATCAAATACTCGTCACTTCCCTCAAAATTAGGATATATTGAACCAGAGGCGCTTTTAGAATACATTTAGGTTAAGCTGATGCAAATAGGATGCCCCTCACTTACAACTCCCCTGAATCCAAGCTATTTCATATGTTCCTCCAGTTAATAAAAGTAATGAAAATAAAAGTAAAAATGTACTTTGGATCCCAGCAGCAGCCCCACTGACACGATCACCCTCTTCTTGATGTCCCAATTGCCGTGTGGCCAGATGCGGGACCACAGTCTGCGCACCATCTCCCCCGACTGCACCTGGTCAGTGGCCAGGTAGTCTATCTTCAGCTTCTCCCCCACATGTGATGTGATATGCTGCTCCCGCTTGCTCTCTTTCTGAAACAGCACACAACTTTAATCACAGAAGGTCCTGTAGGACGAAGCTCAAGTATCACCACTACACCGGACATCATCGACGAACAGAAACCCGAAACACAGTATGCTTGCTGTTTTTAAACCTCAACTGGAAAAACACCGACAACAGCAGAGCAGTAACTCGTTCAACATCCAACGTGATTTAACTTTGCTCATCGCAACAATCAGCAATCAGCAGACTGCCACGTAGCACTAACTGTTGTTTGAAAAAAAACAGCTTTTTTCGGTTCATTTGATAAATTAAAAGTGCATCAACTGTGTTAACTTATTTATTCCTCATCGCATTTCAAAGCACATGCTATCAAAATTCCATAAAGGTGCCCCAAAAGTAGCACCAATATTTGCGCATTAGGTAGGGAAAAAAACAGAATAGTCGTACTATTAGACTACGATCACAGGTGTAATTACAGTGGTTGCATTATGAGTTCAAATTGTTCTTTCGATCTTTTTTTCAAATCGGTGGCAGGCAAGGTCAATATCTTGGAGTATAGGTAAGTCAACTGCAGAGACTTCGTTGGTTTAACATGTATTTTTGAGTATTTGGAGCCACAAGTCCTCAGCAGAAAACATTATTATGTAGAAAACTGAGCTTTTTAAAATTTCATGAAATTTTGCACAATTTCAGAGATTTTGTCTTAGAACAGTGACAGCCACTCATGTAGAGTTAAATTCGGTGCAACTAAAAATAATGCCTCATTTTTGTTATTCGCGCACTAATCCACGGCATAACACTAACAAAGCTGTCACAAGTCTGGTCCATGTACCTTAGAGTGTTTGGAAAATGAAGCCACTGTTCTTGAGACATTGTGACTTGGCGTGAGATTTGAGATGAGTGGAGCCCTAATGCCTCCTCCACACAAGCAGGAGTAGCAGATACGAGAGTAGTACCTGCGAGGACTCATGTCAACAGGTCACAATCAACATACAAAAAACATCTCATCTGAAAAAAACTGACCGTTAACGAAATTATATTTGTTACGTTCTTTATATTCTCCAAGGCATAAGTCATTATGTTCGAGTGCATTAAGCGCGAAAACACATATTCAACCTGATAATCCTGAGCTTCGCTACTGGTACCTCCTGAGCCATTGTCCTCAGATAACAGCTTGATGACAGAAAGATCTGTTCTGCAGTATCATTAGTCCAAAACTTTTGAGCATAATTTAAGCGAAATTTGCTGCATTTAATTTTAACTCTTATCCTTTTGGAATGATTAGCTTGTCTTTCCAGAAATATCATCAAACAAGAGTAACCAGTCACTGCGCAAAATATTAACAACAGTTATCAATTTAAAAAATGAAATCTTAATTTATTCAAAAATTTCTTTCTCTTGTAAAAGGTTAAACAGCAAATTATTGTATGCATTTGAACTATATTGATCAATCACTCCAGGCCGTTAAAAAAGAAAAGAATTCAAAGAAGAAATGCACGGGGCAAACCAGGCTTTGAAAATATACCAGACTTGAACTCCTCGCCATACGTGCTATCTTAAGATCGACCTTTGAGGTATGCGCTTTTAGTTGCATCCCAATCTCCAAAGAGATAGGCAACAGGAACCAAAAATCCGATATTTTTGATATATATAAATATCGATAATTCAACTTTTCAAAAATAATTTCTTGACAACGAAAAAAAGACCAAGTCACTCGGGATTCCAAATTACACTTCCTGTTCCGAAGGCGTATGCTTTACTTCTGGGTCCCGTGAGAAGAGCTAGAACCATTTTAAGGTTCTATAAAAACGCAAGTTCAATTTCTTGATATCTCGCGTTCTAGATCTCAAGACCCAATGAGAAGGGCCTTGAAAGGTCACCAGGTTCAATAATAAAACAAGGTATACATGCATGCATAATGAAAACTCATTTTCAATTCACTCGAAAGCATAAACATATGAAGCTATCGGAGTAAAAATCTTCAGCTAATGAGGACAAATCTCTTAACAACCAATAATCGAGAAGCCGGTAGAACAATGATTTTTTTTTCAAATCAAGAGATAATGAGAAGTTAACTCCAAACATGATAGTATAAAAAACTCCTCGTATATAAAAACCATATAATATCACTAGATCTGTAGAAGGAACAGAAAAAAAAAGATTTCAAAAAATTGTTGTGGTTATGAAGATTTTACTTATGAAAAGATATGCTAAGAATGGAACTAAGCAACTGTTAAAAAACTTTGAGAGCAGCTTCTCGATTCACTATCAATACATTGGTGATCAGTTGAGGTCCACTGCCCAATCACTTGCCAAAAAAAACTTGGGGGCTATTCTCATGGGCCAAACACCGAATGGGCGAAAGACTCATGAGCGAACGACCGAAAACAAAAACAGTCGAAAGTCAATTAGTGAATCAATTGCCGTTCAACTTAAAGGAACTAAAGGAAGCAATATTTTGCTTCTTTTACAACGAAACCCTTGAAAAATAAATATTGTTCCAATTCGTCGGCAGTCTGTGGCAATTTGAAAATCAGTCCCTTGAAATGTTTTTTTTTAAGTCCCTTGACTAACAAACTTGACAATCTCGGTCATGAAACTTTGATACTGAGGCGGAGCTGCGCTTCGCACAAATTGGAATACAAAACCAGAAAGCTGCCACTTTCAATACAAAACCAGAAAGCCGCCACTTTCAATACAAAACCAGAAATGTCAACAAAACTAGATCTATCAAAAGGAATCAGGCTAGTTTTAAAACAAAAACATGCCAGGACAATAGAATGTGAAATTCGAGTCGGAAGAAAATTTACCGAGCAGTAACGAAACCAGAAATACCTCAGCAGAAACTCTTCAAACCAAAAAAATCAAACTGAAGACTTATTAATTTCCCCTCCACCTCAAAACACATACAAATTTTTTTAGCTCGTCGAAAGACGCAATATGAGGCCATTAAGCCGACATATTTTATTGATATAAACAAAGCCAAGGCTAAAAAAAATACAAACTGCTGAAAAACAATCAGAGCACCTTAGCCAACTACAATATAACTATAAAAACAATTCTACGATGTGGCAACTAAGCCGACAAAACATTAGCAGGCTATTAATAAGACGGTAGTTTCGTTAGAAACGGAATATTTCCCGTTTGGGAAAAACAGGTCTCCTCAGATTCCAACCGATGAGCTTTGCCTTCCCAGGCATATTCGTTAACTCCAGACTTAACAAAAACTGAATTCAATAAGAACTGAATCTAAATTTACTATTTCTAATTTTGACCATTCAGAGAACAAAGTTATTAACAGGAAAAAAGTCTAGTACCTGGTTGCAATACCCTTGCTTAACGCAAGGGTAATGGCCGGATGACCTTGACAAACTCATTTCTGATGGTTAAAGTCTCCTTCATCGAATCCATGATACTCCATCAATGATTGATATTAATTTTTTAAAGCCATGTTTTGAGAATATATCTTAATCATTGGTGAGTATCATTGATTCGATGAAGGATACTTTAAACATAAGAAATGAGTTTGTCAAGGTATAGGGAATAAATTAGACCAATTAGTTTACCTCATTTCCGAAAATGGTCTGAACAAAAAACACCCAAGCATAAATTTTACACTACTTTCTATGAAAGTCGGAGTAAATAACACAAGCTCCGCTCCGCAAGAAAACTAAGCCGACAAAAGTTTCAGCCGAGAAAATATAAGATCATAATGTCTGTAGCTATCAAGTCAAAAAAGTGGTCAGTTTGCAAACTTACTGGCTTTAATCGAATCAATCGAAAAATATGGAATATAAGTCATCGCCAGAAAAACTTGATTTATATTCAGAAGAACCAACATTCTGAAATGAAAAAAATATATTTATCGTAATTTTGAATTTCAACATAAGTTCTCTAAATATTTCATCTTCCCTAGAGTGATCTACTATTCCTTTCTTGTCCACGTAACGGGGAAAAACTCGTCCCTCAACTCAACGGAACCTTGCAGCTTGTACCTTCCGTAAATATAAGTCGGAGCCCCAACAAACTTCACGTCCCCGTCAATCAAGTGAACAGCCAATGCTCTCCTGTGACGATCCATACTGATATTTGCACCAGATCCGTGAAGCATGTTTTGGTGGTGTATTAAACAAAAACCAGCGGGTACTTGAGGTTTCACAATACTCATCAACGAATCCATCGACAGGCTATTTTTATTTTTGTTAATAACTTCGTTCAAAGCAGCAACAAAGCGTTCTTTTTCCTCGTCTGGATTTTCAGCATCCGTGTGAAAATTCAACATGTCTTTAATTTTCTTATGAGCTTCTGCAAACTCATCGCTTTCAGAAAGGACTCCGAAAGACTTTGTGGTATTTCGCATCCCAAACAACAAATGTGATCTTTCGACGTATTCCAGAACTCCGTTTTCTTCGTCCGCGTCATCCAGTGCAATCCAGACTGTAATCGAGTCAGATCCAGTAGAGAAATCGTGGCCATTATATCTCTCTGACAATTCCTTTATAGCTTTGGTTTTCAATTCCGTTTCTGGCGCTTCAAACTGGCGCGAAATATAAGCTGAATCAACATGATACCCTATGTGTCCTTTCACCGTCGATTGGGGAACTTTCCATATTACGTCATCCTGAGCAACCCGCACACGTGTCCAATGCGGGTACAACTGACCCCCTAAAGATCCTATTTCTGGGCTCAAAACGACACTTCGAATCACATTATCTGATTTCCAGGCATTGCAAATTTCACGCACTACTCCTGGGTTGGAAATACCTGCTCGCCAATGCCACTCGTCAGGATATATACCAGTTGAAAACTGGCCGCGGAAACATTTTTCGAACTGAGACTTGAGTTGATTGATCAGAAACTGATCTTGAATTAAAGGAGCACAAGATACCACCAGGTATCCGTTATCATAAAAAAATTGGCGATCAGAATCAGTTAGAGTAATTTGATTCATTCTGATTTTGTTGTTCAAGTTTAGGTATCTAACTGATTTCCTCAGGGCAACAAGATTTATGGCGGACGCCAAATAGAGCTGGCAAATATGGTTTGGATACACATCACAAAGCACACGGTAAAACTTGATATCACGACGTTGTAACGCCCCTACAGTCGATAAGGTAAGCACTAATTTATCCGAGCGAAACAGGTCAACATCACAACTCGTCGTGTCTCAATCAACTCAAAACAAGTTTCTATGGAAATGGAATCAGCATCAACAAGAATTAAATCAGCGGGGCTATTTTTTCTAGGATGTTTGTTAGCGCATATCAATTAAAAACTGCGCTGCATTGCCAAAAGATCCAAAAAAAACTAAAAAGAAACCATAACAAAAATTAGCAGCATTTAGAGCCACACAAATTTGCTCCACTTTATTTCATACCGTATCTTTATGGTGACTTATAATTTCCATACGTAGTTTTCTAAGCACTTCACTTAGTAATCGTAAGCAAAAAAAATCAAAAAACTGGATTTTGTTACTAACAGAAAATCGCAAAACGACAACATTAGCAAGACATGGCTGGATGATAGCTTCTGGTTCTCTCAACGTGAACAGCATAACATTATAAGAATAAGTTCAAATGGTTCAAAATATATACCACGTCAACGCAAATAGAACAAATGACGCCAATAACACGAACGACTATTATGCTCAACCACGTCATTTTTGCCAGCTAGAAATTATAAAAAGTCTACCTGCTTTACATTTCAATTTAATTCAAATCTACAACAAGGATAAATAGGAGATTGCAAAATGCCCTACTCACGTTTTCTAACTAGAATATTCAACTATATGACCTTACTTTTCTCTTCAACCCGCGACTTCCTAGCAGATACATTTCTGACTCAACGAAATGTCAACCAGAACTTTGATTTAGAATGCGGACTCTCTGCTGAAGAACTTAAACTTAAAAGACAATATAGCCTTATTGATATCCCTGATCATCTAATCAAATGTATTTGCCAGCTAATGCTTGATTCCAACAACTTAAGCGGCGTTTTAAATTTAAGAACAACGTCTATCGCATTTCATCAACTCATCAGCAGCTTTCCTCTTTTGCTGACAAGATACGGTGAAAGTGAATGGCAATTCAAAAATTTGGACCAAGAAATAGCTTTTGTAACACACACAGCTAATAATACTAACTGGAGGTACGAGACAATGACTGTCCAATATCGTCATAATGGGATGAGCAGAAGACAAGAACTTTACCGTAATCATTCGCTATTCTTCAAGGCTAAACTGAAAAAATTACGCTTTAGTGATTCGTATCCATATGACTCTATCAGTTTTCGTCATTGTGAACAAATTGTGTCATCGCTATGTAATGCGGCCACAGAAGTGCAGTTAGAGGTAAAGAAATCGTTCTATTTAAAACCCTATAGCCACTTTTATTCGCACGTCACGATGCTAGATATTACAGTTGATTATCAACGTTCATCTTCAGCCGTGCAATTATTACATTGCTGTCCACATATCAGAGTTTTACGTTTGTATACCAAATCTCCTGAAATTGAGATCCATTTAGGACACCTCAGAGAAATGAGCAAATTAAGAGAACTTCAACTGCACGGTTTCAGCATAATGGATACCGGAAGCACGCATTCATGGCCAATATTCCCACATCTAACTCGGCTGGACGTAAATGGATGGAGTGGATCAAATAAAAACCATTTAATCTTGATAGCACATTCATTCCCCAGATTAGAAGCACTCAAGTATTTTAATACATCCATTATTGCCGAATTAGAAATACCAGATTTAGTTCTATCTTGCCATACACTTAACACTTCTTTTTCTTTTTTCGCTGACACATGCCGTATGATGCGCTTGGAGAACTTATTTCTGACGATTGATGCTTCAAATGATTTGAAGAGTTGCCTGTCTATTATTAATACGCAAGAGAATCTCCGAACATTATGCATAGGATTGACTAGCGTTGACGATAAGACTTGTGAACAGGATACTATTTTATTCAGCCTAATTTTGCCTATTTTACAATCACATCCGTGCTTAGAACTTTTCTACTTCTACGAGGCTTTCGGATACTCCAATCTAGAAGCCAGATTCAGTCACTATAACTTTAATTCTCTATCTCAGTTGATGTCTAATCATAAAGACTTAAAAATATTTCGTGTTGGCACAACAAATTTCTACCAGAACTACAACAAAATTGATTTGACTTTCATGCACCGTGCTGCCTTTTTCGAATCTTTTTCAGGCTGCCCATTGGTCTCCACTTACTCGGTCAACGAAAACAAAAACTTGTCAAATACACAAGAAATTAAATAATTATCTGCGCCACCTTCCTGATTTGAATTTTGACCTCTTTATGCTTACGTTTATTGCAAGGAGTGGAGTGAAGTAATTCAAAATATATCTTTAAAAATGAACATAGTATATTGTCTACAGTATTTAATTTAGCATATTCTCTAAACATTTCTAATAAATGGCGAAATTTGATTTACTACACTAGTGGAAAAAATTGAGCGCCAAAAAAGTAATCAGGTTTTTACTCTCCACAAAACCTTTTTTTAATGTCCACTTTGGACATTTACTTCGATATTCAGCAAAAACTTTTACATATACCATGAGGAAATGATTGAAACTACCCTCTATGAAAAGATCATTATTTGGTTTCAAAGACCTGCTAATGTAATCCAGTCGGAAAATGCCAGATTTTCTCATCCTGAAGAAGAAAGAACACTTCAATTACACAATAAAAGTCTATGCATCAATACAGCAAGTGTAAAAAAGATTAGTTCGGATTTTCAGAATAATTGTTTAAGTGGTATTTAGTTCAGTCAAATAAACACATCATTGATATGCGATGAAATAATTGCTGGAATAAAAACATCAAATAAAGGCATAGCATGTAAATAAAAACACAAATGTAAATAATTCATCAACTTCGACAAATTCGTAACTGATACTTGCGAAAATCAGAACATCGATTTTAGGTACAAAAAAACACACATGACAGATACCGAGATTGGCCGCAACCTATTATTGCTACTCAAGGAAGAATTACGCTCCGAACTGTAAAAATTTAGCGGCTACAATAATTACTGGACACATCCCGCGGATCAGGAGGACTGACAGGTGGAATTGAGAACCCGAATATTGAAGAAAGCGGAAGTGTTCGCAGTTGTGATCCAAAATAGTTATTTTAACAATTTTTAGCGTCGATAACTTTTAGGAATGGCCTAAACTTTAAGTATCAACATCAAAGTTGATTTTCAGGAGATGAGAAGCCAGGAGTTTAGGGAAAAGTCGATCCATCTCCGATGAATGGGGTGGTTTTCTCTGCTGTAGAAACAATAGTAAAACAATAACTTAATAGTAGTAAGATATCAGCCCTGTTTTTTAGCAGGCAACTTAAACCCAGCCATAAATTTCACCATGATACTGTAACAGTCGTCCACATTAGTCACACATAAGGTTGAGAGAAATAGTCCCTATAAACATTGGCTCAAGAGTCAGGGACACTACCTCTTGTGTTTTTGGACCTCAGTCAGTCGGAGCCATTCCGGCTCGATTAGGAAATAGGACATCGAGATCGTGTTACAGCTTCAAGTCTACTATCAAATTAACCCACTCTAGAAAAAAGTACGTACACATGGCTAGTTCTGTGACATTCGACCAGAATGGACAAAATGCAATCTCAGCAGTTTAGGAATTTTAGCAGCGAACCTTCCGAGATAGTGATTTTGAAGGATTAACGACGTTATTCGGATGATTAGTAGAACGGTGAAGGTCAAGATATTCTAGTATTTTGAATTTTTAAATTTTCGAAGTGATGACGTAACATTTCTGAGAAACGTCAGAAACGGCCATTTTGGCAGAAAAGCTGAAAAAGCAACAGAACAACATTAGTAGCGATTGCGAGAAGAACGGAAGTTGTGATTAAGAAACGACAACGAATCACGGAGTTAACAGAGGACGTTCCGAGTTGCAACTATTGTGTCGCTACAATAGTTGCAAGGCCGTTGCGAACAACGGTGAAGGGTGGAAGACAGCCTTCCGGGTTACGGAGGAATCAAGCTTAACGTGCTTGATTCAGTGGATTCAAGAATCCGGAAGGGTTTCGGGACTGAGACTATTACCTTTTTATATAAACTTTTAGCTTCTTGTCATGTCCTGAATTGAATTTAATCAACAACTGGATTCATCTTGATAAGGATGAGAAGCTAGGAGTTGGGGGAAAGGGTTGATCCATCTTCGATGGAGATGATGATTTTTATCTACTGAACATAAACAATAATAATTCAAAAAATAGTAGTAGCCCTGTTTTTAGGAGTGACCTCGTGGTCTGGGGATACTGAGACCCAGCCATGAGCTCACTATTTTTGCATGTAATTAAGTTAATTTGAGTGTTTTGACCGAAGCCGAAAGCAGTAACGTTTTTTGTCGACCCGATGTTAGAAAGACCACCGAAAGTACTGGCTTGGTAGAGACGGTGAAAAGCATGCAAAGCTCTGTTTAGACGTTAGCCAGTCGTCTTAGGACTTAGTTTTAATCTCCATCGATATGTATATTCCGGGCGAATGTTACATAGATGTTTTTATGGCGCTCCTGGGTGTTATTCTGTTTTAACATCATGACCGGCAGAATTGTTAACGAGCACTCCGCGCCGAGCGGATGCTCACATTAACGCCCTTAATAGGCCTAAACCGCCGGGGCGGAAGGGTAGTTCGGAACGCAGAAGCCTTCCGGATTACCGTGAATAGCTTTTTAACCTAGTTAAGACCGAAAATTCACGAACCAGGAAGGGTGGGGGGATTCGCGGTCCCGTCATTTCCTGAATGGTCCGTGACCAAAAACACTTAAAGTTATATATAAAACCAAACAAAAAGTAGTAGAGTACCCAAGAAAAACAAAAAAACATAAAAAATAACCGAAAAAACCAAAAACAGTAAAAAAGTAAAAAAAAAATCAGTAGAAATCATCCCCCC